AGACACAGAAAAGTATTAGCCCAAGAGACAGAAAGGGCCACATAAACCAGAGACTTCACTGGCCTGAGCCCAGAAGAACTAGATGGTGCCTGGCTACCACCAATGACTGTCCTGACAGGGAACAAAACAGAGAGTCCCTGACGGAGCAGGAGAAAACTGGGGTGCAGAACTCAAATTCTAGTAAAAAGACCAGACTTAATGGTTTGACTGAGACTGGAGGGACCCCAAAAGACATGGCCCCCAGACTCTCTGTTAGCCCATAACTAAAACCATCCCCAAGGCCAACTCTTCAGACAAATATTAGACTGGACTATGGGACATATAATGATACTTGTGAAAGTGTGCTTCTTAGCTCAAGCAGATACATGAGACTAAATGGACAGCTTCTGTCTTGAGGCGAGATGAGATGGCAGAAAGGGTCAGGAGCTAGTTGAATGGACCCAGGAAATCTGAGGTGGAAAGGAGGAGTGTGCTGTCACAGTATAAGGAGAGCAACTAGGGTCATACAACAATGTAGGTATAAGATTTTGTATAGAGACTAACTTGAATTGTAAACCTTCACTGAAAGCACACACACAAAAATAAAAACTTAACTTTATTTCACCAGAAAGCATTACATACTATCCTTATTGAAAGTTGTTTTTAAACATTTTATATCAAACAGTACTCTACAACACTGAGTAATAATCAATTTTTACTTTCACTATATGGGGAAAAAAGAGCCAGCTGCTTAATTCTTTCATATATCCCTGAGATTTGAAGATCTCAAAGGAGAACTTTTTTTTATCTTCTAATGTTTTTGTTCTCACAACAACTTTATCAGATATATATCATTATACACTTGTGGCAGATTGTTTTCCAATGATGGCCACAATACGTATCTCATACTAAATGTTTTTTTTACAATGTGATGTTGACATCCATCCACTGAGAAATGAGTCCTCTTCTTGAAACTATGTAGACCTTTATACCAGTCTTCACCAAGAAAATGTGTGAGAAGTGATGCTGAATTACTTTCAAGGTTTTGTTTGTTTGCTTTTTCCAGCTGCTGTCAAGTCAATTCTGATTCATGGAAATCCCATGTGTGTCAGAGTAAACTGTGCTCCATAGGATTTTCAATGACCGATTTTCTAAAGTAGATCACCAAGTCATTCTTCCAAGGTGCCTCTGGGTGGACTCGAACCGCCAACCTTTTGGTTAGCAGCCTAGGGTATTAACCATCTGCACCACCCAAGGTTAGGACACAAAAAACAATACTGCATTGGCCAGGCTTTCTCTCTCTCCAAGATGCTTACCTTTTAAACCCTGCCACTAGCTTGGAGTAGTGCCCTAGCTAAGCTTCCAGCCAACTGGCAGCATCAACTACCAGACCTGCGTGAATGAGCCTTCAGATGATTCCAGCCCCCAAGCTTCAATTCTTCCAGCTAGGCCTCAGAGGTCATGTAGCAGGAACAAGCCATTCCTACTACGCCCTGTCTGAACTCCTTACCCACAGAACCCATGATATAATAAATGATTATTGCTGTTTTAAGCCACTAAGCTTTTGGAGTGATTTGTTATGCAACAATAGATAACTAAAACATTTTATAAATAAGGAACACAGGTAAATAACCATGCTTGTTGTTGTTAGCTGTTGTCAAGACAATTCCAGCTCACGGCAGCACTCCTTCTACCATAGGATATTGCTTCCAGCTTTGTTCAGAGTTACCCACCTTGTCACATAGAGCAATACTCGCTAGATTAAAAGTTATAAAACCAACAAAAACCTCAAAAATTAATGTTTTCCATTAATACTCAGGACAACAGTTCGTCAGTCAGGCTCAAAATCCCAACATCAAGGCACCATGGTGGTACAACGTTAAGTACTCAGTTGCTAACTGAAAGGTCAGCAGTTCAAACCCACCAGCCGCTACACAGAAAGACCTGGTGATCTGTTCTCTTAAAAATTACAGCCTTGGGACTAATGTACCACAGCTACCAAGGCCTCCACCAGACCAAGTCCAGTACAGCTAGATGGTGCCTGGCTGCCACCACTGACTGCTGTGACCGGTATCACAACAGAGGGTTCTGGACAGAGCTGGAGAAGGATGTAGAACAAAATTCTAACGCACAAAAAAAGACCAGATTTACTGGCCTGACAGAGACTGGAGAAACCCTGAGTGTATGACCGAGAGACACCCTTTTAGCTCAGTGGTTTACCCTTTAACCTTTAGCTCCCTAGGTTTACCATTCAGCCAGGGATTGGACAGCCCCATAAAACAAAATGGGACTAATGAGGCACAGGAGTCCAGGGACAAGGACTAGAAGGCAGAAGGGGACAGGAAAGCTGGTGATAGGGAACCCAAGGTTGAGTAAGGACAGTGTTGACATGTCAT